TGATTTTGAGGTGGGGAGTTCAACAGGTGGGAAACTGGCAGAGGGCAGGCAACATGCACATTTCTATCTGGGAAATCTGCGTCAGAGAGCTGCTCTTGGATATCTTAAACTCCAAGTGAACATCCTAATTGCCAGAACATCCTTTTGCTCTGCAAGAGGTCTCAAGTCCGTGTTCCTTCTGTACTAGGGCTGCTGCAGGAGCCAAACAGTTCAGCTTCATCTGTTCCTTATCCCATTTCATTTATTTGTTTCACATGGTTTGCTATTTCAGTATGGAGTGAATCATCCTCGAGGTCTCTCTAAGTGCTTGATTCAGAACTTTCCCCTCCCAGGCACCATTCCTCACCTACTCAACTTGGCAACAAGCTTAGAGTACCAGCCGCCCTTGCCTTACCCCTGATGTGAATTTAGTATGTTTTGAGCCTGTGAAAAGACTTTGCATTAAAGCCTAGGGCATCAACTGATGAAAAATTACTCAGAAACCACTTTAAGTCATAATTCTTTTCACCTCTTTGTCCTGGCTGGGTGGGAGATGAGGAGGAGGTGATCTGCCAGCCATCCAGGTGCTAATGGGAACAGATGGAGACATTCCTCCTCTTTCAGGGGTGCTTGGTTGGGTTTTCCTCCCTTTTGTGCAGGTGATGCGTTTCTCTTTGTCTGTTAACTGAGAAACAAATCTGTGGGAGGTTATCTGGGAGGCATCTACCCCACTTTTGAATGTGGTTAAAACTGGCGAGCTGGTTCAAAAGTTTGAGGGTGGAGAGGAACCAACAGGCTGTATCCTCATGTAAACCTTGTTTCCTGAGGTAAAAATGGCTCCTACTCCTTCTGCACAAACTTCACCTTCTCTTGCTGTGTACCAGGCAGCTAATTGTGGTTAATAACTCGTCTGTTCACAGCTTGCCCTGACTAAGTCAAAGGGAATCCTCCTTCATTCTCCAACTCTTTTTGCCACCACCCACCACCCAAACCTGCTCTGCCTTCCAGGGTCTTGGAGGTTTGAGATCTCCTTTGATCTCTGTGAAGAGCAGCTCTCTCCACCTGGGATGTGTCCAGCCATTGTTATCCCCGTGCCTTTGAAGCTGCCTAGCTGCAGTGCACTTCCCTGCGCCGCTGTTTTTACTTCTCCAAGTCCTTTTAACAGCCCCTTCACAGCTGCCTTTGCCTCCACCACCAGCATTTGGCAGTGCAAAACCAAACAGGGAAGTGGAATCACCCATACAGTTAATTAAATATCCTCCTCCACCCCGTGGCTCTGGGACCAGGGCTGAGGGATGCTTTCCTTTGCCCAGTGTCCCACTGGTTCTTTCCCACCAGGAGAACTGCAGGAGTCTGTCACAGCTCCAGGGCTGAGAGCAGCACAGTGGGACTAAACCAGTACAGCCATCATGCTGCTTGGAAATCAGCCCAGGGGAAAATCCCGGCTTCAAACAGCTCTGAGCTTTGGAGGGAAGTTTTAGCCCAGGACCAAGAACTGATTAGTGAGTGGGGTTTTTTTTCCTGAATGAATTTATCCTCTGCTCATCGCCAGGATCCCCAGGCCTCTGGCAGTGGCAAAACAAGCCAGATGTTGGGATATTCAAAAGCTAAGCAGGATCCCATCCTGATCAGCTTTTGCTCCATCCAGCCTGCCCTTGAACTCATCCAGGGATGGGGCATTCACAGCTTCTCTGGACAACCTCTGCCAGGTTGTGACAACCTTGCCACCCTCATAGTCAAGAATCTATTCCTAATATCAAATCTAAATCTACTGTGCCAGTAGAAGAATGATCATTATAGAGGATTACAGTGCATTTTGAGGGTTAGGTGAAATCTCAAAGTGTGTGCTGGTTAACTGGGAATAAGCAAATGAATTTTTCATTCAATTTGGCCTTTGCTCAGGACAAGTGGTTGAGTCTCCTCTCCCTGATCTCACTTATCTTTCAAGCTGTGGGGAGTTCATTAGAGTTGTCTGTCTCTGAGCCACTAAAGATTAAGGTGTGCATACATTAGCCCAAGGAAAACACATCAGGCCACGGAGACAAAATAACCCAGGCTCAGCACTACAGCTGAGCACAGTTGTGTGCTGCCACACACCACTGCATATGGCCCTGGATCTCTCTCAAGTCTGATTCTGCACAGGAATAGTTCAGGGATGAATATGGGATCTATTTGTAGGTCAGCCTGTAGAACTCCAGCGTGACTCCCAGCAGAGGTTACTTGGAACAGAGCCCACGAGTCCCACTGAGATTCCCATTGAGATACATATAGACCATTGTGTATTGCACATTAATGCAGGGTAATTATGTCGTTCTGGAAACCTTTCAAGTCAGCATTCATCATTCAGAAATCGTCTTAAACCAGTTTGTGCTGCTCTTGTGCTTGAAAGTGAATTGTGCGAAGTTGGCAGCCACAACCACCACTGCAGCAGAGCGTATAAAAGCCCTTTCATTGTGGAGTTGGTGGTTTTACTGTAGCTTCCCTGTCTCATCAAGGAGCACCATAATTCACTGCAAAAATCTGTAACTCCTGCAGCATCCAGAGCCTCTGGCTTGCTGAGCATGAGTGACTTCAGCCTGAGCTGTGGTGGGATCATTGCTCCACGTCCCCAAAGCATGCAATCAGGAGAGAGACTGAGTGGAAACTCCCCTGGAAATTGGTCCAGATTGCCCTTCCCAGGTGGCCGGGCTGTGCTGGCTGGATGGAGTAGGACAGGAGGAGGAACATCATCCTCAGCAGCCATTCTCAAGTTGAGCTAATAAAGAGGCAAGCAGGCATTTGCAAATATCATGCTGGGCAAATTCTCCAGGGCTTCTGTCGCAGCTGCAACATGAAAGAGATGATAATGAATATCTCGTCTGTTCCGTGGCCTTTCGGGCTCTTCCTGAGTTTGCAGCAGGAGTGCTCTATGCAAAGAGCAAGCCTCCAGCCTCGTGCACCAAATTAGGTGGTAAAAATAATTGTGAAGCAATTTGCGGCTCAGTTTCATTATGTTGTTTTTTTCTTTCCTTTAGGAGCTGCAGACACATAGGAATAGCCTCAAGACTCTTTTGGTGAAGATCTTCCAGCTCAATTATGTTTTCTGCATCATTTTAATGTCCAGCATGTAAATGAAGAATGATCCATCCAGGCTGCTGATGGAGGGAAGGAGTGAAACTGAGTTAAAAACTCCTTTCAAGAGTGCATGCAAAAGATTGTTGCTACTAAAGTCAATGCTAAGTCTTCCATGGATCTCATTACAGACAGATTTTCACCAGGCTCCAATTTAAGTGGAGCTGCTCACATCCTTACAACAAGCATCTTAATAAGCTTTTGCAAACTTGAAGCCTTAACTCATGGTCCCAGCTGCTGGATGTGGGAAAGATATATTAGTCCCGCTTTTTGCCATGTGGAAGACTGCTCTCTACATGACATTAATTGCTCTCTGCCTCACTCAATAAGAGTCTGCTTTCAGCAGCCGAATATAACCATGTAATCAGAAGAATTTCTGTTTATTGTTAAAATGTTTTCATGCCTAGAAAATGAAGACTTCTGGAATGTGTCTGATGGCAACACGACATGGGCGTCGGGAGTGAGTGTCTGGAGCGCTGAGCTGCGATTTGCTCCTCAGCCTCCCCATGCCCCGCTCAGCCATGAGCCACAGCCCAGCTGGAATTTAATTTCAGATTAAGGAGCCTGATGCAGAAAGGGCATTTCACGAGAAGAGAGGGAATAGTGTGCCAGTTAATGCTGCCCTGTGCCTTGGGAGTGTGAGCACACACAAGCCATCCAACACAATCCAAAGGGATGAGCTGCTGGGAGGTGTCCTGAGCTCATGCACCATTCCTGGAGTCAGGGTGAGCTGTCACACGTGTTACAGCTTTGCCACAGCAGGGATGGCATGGGGACATCCCTGGTAATGCCCTTCTTCCCAGGATAATCCCATGCCAGCTGTCCACACCACCCCAGCACGTGCAAGGAAGGAGAGGACGGTCTGTCCTTTGGGGTGCCAGCTTGCACTGTAGGATGCTGTCACCTTCAGCCACGTCCCTGGCAATCAGCATTCCTTCTGGTTCTCCCCATCCCAGGAGCTTGTCCCGTGTGTTTTCAACAGAGGGACAGGGCTCCAGGGTAGGTGGATGTCGTTCTAGGGAGGGAGAACTCTAGGGAGTTTCTTTCTCCAAGAAACTTTTCCCAGGTGCTTTCATTTCTTGCAGGAGCTGTGCTGGAGAAAATCTGGGTCAACAAAAGACATCCTCCCTCCACATCAAATCTCATATTAGTGCTTGTGATTTTTAATTGGGCAGCCCCCTCTCAGCTAAATTAACTAGTGCTCATCTGGTTCTTCCTGCTGCACACTCCCCCACCCATATCCCAGACTAGCATCCACCTGGATCTAATTAGAGCTGGAAGAAAATGAAGATTTTTGAGAAGCTGTGTCTGGAGCAGGCATTTTTTCAGAGGTTCTTTTGCCTATGGGTGTACATTGAAGGCAGCCACGAAGCAAGAAGAGCAGGCTGCATGTGTCAGGGGACAGATCCATCCCCAGTGTGTCCCCTGTCTAGGCATCACAGAGAGGGGTTCCTACAGCACTCAGCTGCTGTGGCAGCAGGGATACACATGCCCCAGGCATCCCCTGCCTTGACTGGCCTTGGCTTTACCTATTTATTTCTTAGTAAGTGCATCTCAGCCAGGAAAATTACTGTTTTGGCTGCTTCTCCCTTCACCCGTGAGTGATTTTTTCATCTCCAGGCAGCCACCTGTGTGTTGAGCACAAGGGACTCAGTAAGGACTGAAAAGCACGGATTTTTTTATTTTTTTTTTCCATTGCATCCTGCACGTTTTCAAGGGGAGCCCTTTCCCCTCTGCCAAGGTTCAATGCAGCTCTTATGCACTGGATCCACAAAAAAAAAAAAAAGAAAAAAAAAAGAAAAAAAGCAAAAAAAGCAGTAAACACAGCACAGAAGCATGCTTTGTGTGCTCTCCTGCCTGAGAAAAGTGGTGTAGAGCAACTAGGGTTTCAAAGCTTCCTTCGATAGGACGTTTCATTCCCTGTGGGATCTTGGGCACCATGAAGCCGAGCTAACTCAGCAAATGTGTTTACTTTTGTGAGCTGGAGAGCCACAAGGCAGGAATTCACAGCAACCCCAACTTCTTAGCACAGAACCAATAACATTATGAGCACCTCAGGGCAGCTATGAACAAGGGCTTCTTTTATAGGCAGGGAAGTGTAATACAAAGTGATTCTCGGCCACAGGAAAAGGGAAAATCGCCCAGGTAAACGTGCAGTGGGAACTGCAAACTGGATCCTTTCTGAAAAGTTTAATAATTCTGTGTTATTCTGTGAAAGCTTTCCGGTATTATGAGCAATAACCCCCTCCTCCATCCCTACATGTTAAAGTAATTAGATTGCAAAATGCAATGGCTGCATAATGTATCTATGGCTTTTGTTATTTAGTGGGGATTTTTTGGTTTGTTTCTCTACCCCCATGACGAGTTTAGTTGAAGTCCAAAAGAAATCAGAGGCTAAAATAAATGGTGACAAGCTGGGTGCTCCCTCTGGGTCTGCAGCCTCACTGACAAACACATTTCTTCAACAATTTCTAGGAAATGTAAAGCCAAATTAGAAAAGTCTCAATATGCCAAGATGCTGCAAAAGATGTTTGGCTGCTCCTCAGGAACTGGTTCTCTGGATCAGCCCTTTAAGTGTGAGGATTTTCCCTTCCAGGCAGCCTAGCACACTGGTGTTGCTAAATGAAATTACACACGGATCACCAGGGCAAGGAAAAGAAAAATAAAATGTGCCATTCCTCAGATAAAGGGCTGCAGTGTATCACCTTGTCAGGCTGGAAGGAAACTCCAGCTTATGAGGGAAATAGCAGTGTTGGCTCTTTTCAGAAGATTAAGCAGCACCAGTGCTGCCTGGAATTTAATTAAAGATACATGTATTTGCTTTATATTCTTGCTCGCTGTTTGACCAGAGAGGAGTTGGGGTGTAAAGTCGGGTGCTTCCTAGAGAGCTGAGGGACACCAGGAAAAGTCCTGACTCTGCTTCCATCCCTCAGAGAGGGTAAAAACCGAGGTCAAATCCTGAAGGGACGGTGCTGGCCCGTCAGGAGAGGGAGCTCTGACCACACCACCCAGCTGGGAGCCCTCTCTGCTCACTCCCAGATTTCTGCCCACACCTTCAGCTCCCACTGCTCTGTCCTGGCTGCTGCATCAGCCTCCAGCCTCCTCTCCCTCTGCTCTGTGTGCCTGCAGCAGAGATCTCTGCAATCACCGTGTTCCAGTCAGGGAAATGAGATCCTCCCCAGGGCACTTCTGGTGTCCCCAGGAGACAGCTGGAGGCTGGGTTTGGTGCCTGGCAGGGGCTCCTTTCCCTGCCACAGCACAGACCATCATCCCCACGGTCCTCTCCGTGTTTATGGGGTGCTGGGGAGGCTTTCCATAAGCACTGGTTCTTCCTGGGGGCTTTTAGCACTTGTAGCTGTAACGCCAAGCAAGATGTGTCGTGCAGAATGCTTTCAACTAAATAAATGGAATCCAGTTATTTAAATTTATGCAAAAAGGCTGCGATAAATGGAGGGGTTTTTTTAAAAAATGCATGTCACACAATGATTCTACAGAAAATGCAGATACTGAGCACTAGTTATCAGCTGCTGGGATCCAGCTGATCAATATGTATCAATCCAGAGGACTGCAGAAAATGATGGATAGGGATTTCCATCACCATATTCCTGTAGCACCGGTTGGCTTCCCAGTCCCCTAATTAATTTAGCCTCATGACCTCTGGAGGTACCACATGCTCTGAAGAGGAAAAAAAGCCCAGATAACACAGAACTTCAGTTCTAGACCTCAGCTCTTGGCTTGGATCATTGAATCACAGAATGGTTTGGGTTGGAAGTGAGGGTGCCAAGAGAAGATTGATCCAGCCCTGTCCTAGACCATCTCAGTCCCACTGGAGACCATCAGGCCCAGATGTCCCTCATTTCTTCTGCAAGATGACATGAGATGGATTAATCTCATAAAACCCCTGAGCTTTGAAATGGAGCAGGTTTTGTGGTGAGCCAACAGAGGTGGTTGTGAAAAGGCACAAAAAGGTGCTGCCTGCCCCAGGTCTAAAATACACTTGCAGTTGTAAAGTGTTTAGTTTCCTTGATCCCCTCCTAGATCACAACCTGGCTCATGTTTCCCTGTGCTGGGACTTACCTTTCCAAGTGATTTGGTCATTGTTTCCACTCCAGAAACTTCTCAGATGGGGAGAGCTTTCCCTCTCTGAAGCATTTTTGCTCTCTGCAGATAAAGTGCAGCCTCAGCCCCTTGTAAATCAGAGCCCTCACCTTGAACAAGGAACAGTCCTAACCACAATTTAATGAAAACCAAAGGAGGTCACAGCAGGAGCCAAAGCAGCTGGGACCAGGAGGCTTCCTTGCATCTCTAAATGTTGTCCTAATGCTGAGGAGTGTTGCAAAAAACAAATGTTCTTTTCTGGAAATCAACACCAGCATTTCTCTGCTTCTGGCTGCTGCCAAGAATGTCCCCCTCAGCACAGGATGAGTCCAGTCCCAGCCCTTATTTGCTGCTGGAAGTGCTGGGCTTGGTGTAACAGCCTGTGACCAGTGCTGGGGCTTACCTGTCCATTCAGTAGCAGTTCACAGGGTTGCAACTTCTCCCTGGAAGACTTTAAAAATCCAGTGTAAAATATCATAAAAATACAAAGAGGCTTGCTTGGCACATAGCATCGATTTCTGTCCCCACAGCTGGCTTCATGTGATAGTCTGAAATATTACTTGTAATATTATGAGATCCAGAGTGATCTTCAAATTGATGATGTCCCTTTAAAATGACTTTCAAAAAATCCTTTTAAAGTAGATGACAGATTTTTAATACCACCCGCAGAGTTCAGCATGTATCAGTGTCACTGTTCTTGCACAGCTGTAGCAAACCCTCTCCATCTGGACTTTAAAAGATTTGAGTTTAAAAAGGAAAAACAGCAAACCCCCAATCATTAACCAGGACCCATTTGCCAGAGATCGATGAAATTAAAGAGCACTCGTGTTAAATTACTTCCATCCAGCATGTATGACACATTGAATTTGTTACACTTGGGAAATCGTGATATTCCTTCTGCTATTACGAGGCAGAAATACAAAAATTCCTAATAAAAGAACACACACACTCACACATGAAAAATCAGCTTCTTATGGCATTTCTCTTTGAAGCTGCTGTGGCTCAGTGCCAGTGAGAAGTCACAGACTCATCTGCAGCTGCCTTGCTGGACCCTTTGTGCTAACAGAGACTCTGGACTTGCTGCCAAAATTTGAATCTGTGCCCTCCTTTCTCTCAGACTACTATGACCAGCGTGGTGTTTTGCAGGCCCCAAAGGGATCCTCCTTTTATTTCTTTATTAAATTCTGTTTATTGGTTTTCAGAAAATGCAAACTGTTGCTGTCTTAAGTGCAGCAGGTGACTGCACAGAGATCTGCACTTCAGCACCAAGGGACATGGAGTGCAAGGGGAACTCACCTTCAGGCAGAATCAAATTCACCTTCTACTTCAGCATCTCATCCTCAGAGTCTGCCCTCTTTAGCTGATGGTTTGTCCTGGTTTTGATGGCCATCTGGCTCTTATCTTGTGCAGGTTATCCAAGGATACAGAGCTGGAGGACTCCTCCAAAGTGCTGGTGGCACCCGGGATGCGTGGGTTATCTGAGGCGTGAGCTGTGAGCATCAGAAATGAACCATCTCAATCCAACGTGCAGAACTGTTGGGAAGCAGGACAAGCCCCTGTGAAGCCTTGCCTCCTCCTCATCCTCCCACATCCCAGCACGGGCAGCTCCTGCTTCCATTGGGAAATGTACAAATAGCCAGGAATCCAGCTGGTGTGAGGGAGGGGAGAGGATAAGGCTGCAAGAACATGAAGAAGAAAATGAGGAGGAGGAGTTGATTTTTCTTGATATCTTCCACAGGCTGACCTTTGTCATTGTCTTCTATGGAGAAATTATCTTTCTTATCAGTTCCTTGCAAATTCCTTGTGAGATGTACACAAAGAGGATGCCCAAGACTCTGATGGGTGGAGGGATGGACATGGATGGATGTAAGGACACAAGCAGAAACACAGCTTCTCCTCTCCTGCTTCTCCACTTTTCCTACACAAATATGCCCGTCCCATCACTTATCACTTCCTTCAATCCTGACAACTGATGAGGAAGTGTTTAGGACTCAAGGTCTTTATTTAGTTTTCTAATAAAATAATTTAAATATATGAGTTGACACAATAGGCAAAGAGCCCTAAGTCCCACTGCTTGCTATTATGTGTGATTCTTCTTTGAGCAAATATATAATCACAGCCCTAAGTTATAATAATTATGTAATATTTCTTGATAGAGGCAATTGGAATCCATTGTGTAGGGAAGTAATTACAGCCTACTTTGGTTCCTTTGTTTCTGAGTGGGTGGCATTTATGGGCAAAAAAATTATGCATGCTCAAAAATCTTTATAAAATGTTGGGTTCTCAGAAAATCTTGGACCTCCTCAGATGCACGGGATTTTTTAAGGGATAATAAAATCTTTTCATTTTCTGCAGAGCAAAAATGTGTATTAAGTTAACCAAGAAACATTTAGTTCTAAGGATGAAAGAACATCAAGGCAAATGTTTTGCTTACAAAAGAAAAGAGGAGAGTTTATAAATTTACACATTCAAATAAGCTTGATGGGTGTGTGTGCACATGTTCCCTCTCTCACACATACACAGAAGGTATGAGCTACTTTTAAGATGACACCTTAAATATGGATTTTTATCCTGTAGCAGTTTCATGTTGGAGGGTTCTTATTTGTAATTAAATTTCTGAGAAAACCTTCACAGTAGTGACAGAGCAAAAATTGGCTTAAAGGAATAAATTAACAGTAATAGCACAAAAGAAGAAATGTCAGGCAGACTGCTACAACACTGTCTAATTTGCTTTTTTGATCACATCAGCGGAGGTCTGGAAATAACCAGATGCATTAACATTTATCTAGGAATGATAAAAGTTGCCATCCTGCCAGATATTCAGTTGGTTTATTAATTACCAGCAGAAACCTGAGATGAGATGTGTGTTGGTTTAACTTCTTAACTGCTCACTGGAGAATGTTTTTAAAGGGATTTCCTGCAGAGAAATAAGAGATGTTTGGGAAATATTTTTGAAGCTTGAAAACAAAAATGTTAAGTTTCAGTTCCTGCCATGATCTTGGTAAGTCTTTCATCAAGTGTATGGGGAACTGGTAAGGGATGCAGGAAGTGGGCTGAAGAGGAGAAAAGATCATAGGAACACAAATATTTATCCTGGAGGTACGGGGTGGCCTTTTCTACCTAGCAAGTGAAGGGGCTCTTCCAATAACATCTCAATGTTCTCAATCAATCCTGCACCCATTACTGTCATGCCAAAGTTGCTGTTGAAGAAGCTGAAACTGGTGTTTTCCATGCCAGAGTCCCCTGCAGTCCTGCCAGTGCCTTTTCTCACTAAAACTCATTGCTGACTGGAGATCAGATGAGACATCTCCCAGTCACGGCCATGTCTGGTGCAATAAGCATTTCTTCCCTTAGATATGCCCATTTTATCTGCCTGCTTCCCATGGAAAGCTTTGCAAGTGGCTTCCTAAGATGAAAAGAAAATGTGTTATTTTCCTCACTCTGCACAAAAGCCCAGATATTTTTGTTCCTTTTGAGTGCTTCCTGATCAATAGGCCAATTTTAGCTAGTGACCCTTTACAGAATGTTCTCTTGGCCCCTAGAGATTCTCTAATTTGCTCAAAAATTGCCCTGCTGAGAGCAGAAACAGGCAGCATGACCCCAGCCCTGTGCAGTGCATATGCATGGGCTAGATACATAATTCCCTGTTTCTTCTGGGTGTAGATCTACGTGTAGTCGCCCATTGGAAGCACTTTCTCAGTGGCTGAGTAGCACTTAGGATGATTTTTTTTTAATGTGCATTTTTGAGACACACTTTTTCATGTGTCAATTTTATTCTGGATGCCTGCTGCCTAAAAAAGTGATGGCACGATAGCAAAGCCCACCCTCTTCCACATATTTTGACTAATTGCCTCTAAACATCCTGTGTTAGAGTCAGGCTGTGTTCTACACCCATGTCACCACCATTTTTTCATACATTTTTTTTTCCCCACTGGTTTTCTGAAGCTGCCAAAGCTGCCCAAATCCTCAGAGATAAATCAGAGGTCAGAGCTGGATGCTCCTGAGTGGAGTGAGAGTGGAGAAAGTCACAACTGTTCCCTATCCTACAGAGCAGCTCCTGTAGGTGTAAAATCTTAATTTGCTAAGAGGATAGAGGAACTTCATACTGAATTTGGTGGGAAACAATTGGTGGGTTTGGACAGGGTTTGGGGAGGTGGATTGCTGCTGCCTTGCTCATCCCTGGCCGTGGATTTTTTTCCTTTTCCTCCACACCTGAAGGGAGACTTCCAGGAACACACACTTCAGGGATGTGCCAACTCCAGAGCTGCTGCTACCTTATTGATGCTTGGCATTGAGATTCAAATTCTTTTTTGAAAGATTGCAATTTACACATCAGTGTTATTGTAGCAGCAGAGATTTCTTAATGACTTCCTGTCAAGCACAAAATGCAAGCTAATTTCTGATCCTAAAGAAGTGCTGTGACAAAGAGATTTTTAATGACAATGTTTGGTACAACCAAGCCACTGTGCTTCTCCAGGTCAGTATGTGCAGCTCATCCTCCTGATGTCTTTCACCCCCTAAAAGTAGCACAGCTCGACTGGGAAAAGTTAAGCCAAATTAAAAATAATTTATTTTCACATGAATCTTTGAGTGATTAATTTATCCTATTGGTTTCAGAACATGAAAATGTGATCCCACTCCAGGTAAAAGCTTTTTGGAATATGCCTGATAACTCCATAGTATGACTTCCTTCAGCACCCAGTAGTAATAAATAGCACCTCTTATTAATAAAACATAACAAGAGAAAAAGACATCCCAGAAGCCAAACATCTCTTATAATTCATGAAAGAGTTAACAGGCAATCTTACACCTCGCAGGGAGACCTTTGCTACACATTTTTAATGGCCTGGGCTCTTGGTAGGTGAAAGGAAAGTTCCAAGTAATAATTCAGGTTTAAAATACTGTCTCGGTGCCAAGTAATCAAACTAGTTTTAAGTGAAGCAATTAGCAAGCATTAGAAAGGCAGCTATTTCCTGCTTGAAGGTGGTAAACTCTGTGTCTCTTATTATGATTTCTCTGGGGATGTGAGTAATGGGCTACAGAGCTTTTTTTGAGGGGGTAGTGGGTTTTTTTTTGCATATGTGGAAATACTGGCAATGTCCTAAATCCTTGCCAATTTACTAGATACGAATGACGATGAGAGTGGAACAAAGTCCTTACTCTTTTCTGGTGGTTTGAGCAATATGTGTGCCAAAATCTGTAAGGTGGTTTTCTCATTAGGTCCTTAAAAACAGGTTTTTCTTCCTGGTTCTGCCTCACCAGATCCTCATTTCTGGGACCAGGCTGGTGCTGGAATGAGCAGACGAGGCAAAAACTGGTCATTCTGCTGCTTTTGCTAGATTTTGTTGAGGGGGTTGATGAAACACAGGTGGGGACCACATCACCCTGAAGGAGAGTTTTCTCCTTGAAACCACTTGGTTTTTTGCCAAGGGGAGCTCTCAGAGCTGCATTTCCAAGGCGAGGTGGCTCCTGATGGGTGCAGCTGCATCAACAGTCTGTTTTAACCTAAACGGGTGCTTTTGGAGCCAATCTGTCACTTCTCCTAATTTCCTACACTTTGTGAGCACAATTTACCTAAACTTAACCCTGGGGTGCCAGAGCAGATCTCTCTCCTCCACCACAGCTTTATAAACTGGCATCCACACCTGAGGCTCCTTGGATTATTGAGAAATCCCTCTCTTGGCTCTGCTGGGCTTTGAAAAAGGCTGTAGGGGCTCAAAGCGAATGGACATGGAGCCAAATAAAGGTGAGAAGCAAGGCTGACACCCTGCCAAAATTCAGGACACGTCCCTGAAGTCTGAGCAGCACAAAGGACAAAACCTCTGCCCTAAAGAAGAACATCTGCATAAGGTTCAGAAACAGAAATTTCATGAGTTTTTCATCAAAATTTATTCTTTTTGTTTTGAACATTCGGGGGGAAACCCCACCATTTTCTAAATTAAAAGGGTGAAACTTAGAGAATATTAAAACTAATTTGCTTTCTATAATTTTTATTTCTTCCCCGGCAAATTCAAAAATAGCATTGGAAAGCATTAAAACCAAATTCTTCAACAGCCTTTCACATTTTGGCCAGCACATGCCCTTATCTGGTACTGAGCCTGATGAAACTAGATTTTTTTTAACAAACCTGGATCATAAATGTGATCAGGTGGAATTTTATGTAAGCACCAGCTGAAACCTGTGCTGGTACAGTTATTGCTGTGCATAAGCAAAAAAGGAAAGCACACAAAAAAAAGAGCCATGGAATCTTACCTCAGGTTAAAGAAACAATGGGAAGTTTGGCAGAAAATGGGGAATTACATACTTTTATTAAAAGACTTGAATTTGTGTAACCACAGGAAGCAGAGGGAGAAGGTACCCCTCCCAATCCCTTGGATTTTCAATCCATTTGTTCTTTTTTTCTGAACATGTAGAACAGCTTGGGTTTTTCTGACAGGGTGTCTAGATATTGAAGGTAACCACAACTGTGCTTAAACCATCAGATTTTGTGGCTGTGCTGGGAAAAAAAAAAAAAAAAAAACAAAGAGGAAGAA